CACATCTCTTGCAGTGTCCTTCGCTCTCCCAGGTAGCTTGAGAGCACAGGAAAGGCTGTACCTAATTTCAGCCTTTGCGTCCCACCAGAACCGCTCAGAAAGTCCCTGTTAGCACCAAGCAGAAGGAAATGGTGATGTGCAGCTGGGACAGAGAGAAAAGCTCCTTTGTGAGTACCCTGTATTTAAGCCTACAATACCTGCTCCTCTCTGAGACTTTCCCATCCAGGGACATTTATGAGTAATGATTTTCTATTTTCTTCAACTTCCTCAAAATCATGGGATGGGGAGGTGAGAAAACTCACCACTGCAGGATGTTGCTGGAAACATCCACCTGGCCAGAAACCCAGCTTCTTACTCACTTAGGATGCTAACCTTGTACTGTTCTAACTCCTGAACAAGTATTCATCGTGGTATCGTGGTATCAAATGCTGCACCGAAGTCAAAGAAAACACTGCTTTTACTGTAAGTAAACATTACTTGTATCAAACTAACCTGTAATCTTACCAAGAAATAAAAATAGTTCCAGGTGCTACAGTTAAAACCGCTGCATTGCAGCAGAGTTCAGAATAGCACTGACTGATGTTTATTCTTCCTGACACATTCTAACTCCAGGTTTGGGATCCAAAGAGGCCAATGCAGCGGTGCTGAGGAGCCAAAACCAGCAGACTGGTCCCAGGGCCGAGTGCTTCTGCTCCTGAGAGCAGTTGTGGCACTGTAAGCTTCTTAAGCTCCAAAATTAACACATACACAAAACAGAGAATAAACCAATCATAACAGATTTTATTTAACAAATTATATTAAGAGTACAGACCGTTATCACACAATGAAACTTCCCTTTGTAAAATACAGGAGAGTCATCTAAAATAAATATAAAAGGTAGTAACATTCATTAGATTAATGCACAGTAAATTTGTTCTCAATAACCCAACACAATGCATAGCATCTCAAAACAACACTTGCCAACTGCATAAAAGGTTTCTCTCCTCCTTTTGTCTGACGGCATTTAAAACTGTTGCTGTTTGGGAACAATTTTACAATAACTGACCGAAATACCCAAACCGTTTGGGTTCCCTGCGCCGAACGAAGCGAGCGGCCCCTCACCGAGCCTTTCCCTTAGCAGGCAGCACCTCCCTACCTGCAGCACTGCCGCTGGCTTTACGGCTCAGTACAGCGAACACCGACCCCGCGCGGCCGCCCCGGCGCCGGGATCCTCGCTGGCCCAGGCTGGCGCCGAGCCGATGCTCGATGCAGGCACGCTGCGGGAGGAGGGCAGCGGGGCACGGCGGCCGTGGGGCTGGGACTCCATCGCCAGGCCCTCGCCCAGCCAGCATCGCTGCTCTGCCGTGGGCTGAGCACAGCAAGGATGTTATCTCTTCTAAAGACGCCGGTAAACCACGTGCTGCAGGCTCCATCTTATGCAGCTGTTTGTGCCGCCCTTGGAAAAGGGGCAAGGAGAGCTGCAGCGGCCCTGCCAGGTGCCACCAGGTGCCACGCCAAATAACCCAAGGTTCCAGACCACCAACAACGCCCTACTGCACAGGAGGCTCCCAGAGGACCCTCTCCTACAAACAGTGGGTAACCGCAGTGACAGTCAAAGGAGAAAAGTCTGACGAAGCTTATTTCTACAAACTACAGCTAGGAAACACTCCCACAGGAAGACATCTGCTAGGTCCGTCCACACCTGATCACAAAGTTCACGCTCTACATTACTTTCTGCACTAATATCTTGCCTTTCCATAATTAACACATTAGACATCCCTGTCTGTCCTGGATAGTCCACGAGTCACCCCAGCAGGCTCTTTGCTGAGGGAAATCCAGGAGGCAGCACACCTCTCCTAATTCACATCAGAAGGTATATTGTACAGTAAGTAAACCTCTGCTGCTTTTCTATTTCTTGCAGAGATACAAATCTGGTGGATAATTCAGCAAACTAATTTCTCCATTAGCCACAACATTAAGCTAGCTGGTATCTAGTTTTGTTCTAGAAAAAGAGACAAGGTAGCCGAACACATCTGGCACAGCTCTGCAAATCCACTTCTGTTGCCGTCTGCTGACAAATCCCCTCCCTGTCTGCTTCAGAAGGCTTCTCTTCAGCCAGAAAACATCAGAATCAGGCTGCCTGAACACTGACTCCCTGGGCAGTGCTAGCACACTGCATGTTGGACCAGCAGGGAGGAAGATGCAGAGATACTTGTGCGGGCTCCAGCATATCGCTGCAAGCATGCAAGGACCAGCCTTGCAATGAGCCACTGAGAGTACAAAAGTGGCAGAACAGCAAAAAACTGCCTGTGGAAATACTGATCTGGTACCCACAGCCTGGGGATGCAGAGGTGCAGCAAGAAAGCTTCCGAAAATCAGTGGATCACAAAAATGACACACAAAACCAGCCAAGCTGTGCTGTATCACACCATGCTTCTAAGGGGAGACTCTGAGCTCTCTCCCTTTGGAAATGCCAACAGTTTATTAGACTGGTTAGCACGGCTGACAGCACAACTGGCCTTCAGTGCTCAGGACATCCCTACTGTGCTCATACAGAGAGAACTGCAGTCACACTTTTCATACTTTCAGGAACAGCTATCTTTGCAGTGCCACAGTGCAGAAACACTGCAAAGACCCAAACTATTCTATCTTCCAAATTGATTTGCAGACACATCCCTTAAGTAGACTTGCTAGGCTAGTGAAAGAGAAGAGAGAAGGAGAACCAACTATACAAATATATCCTGAAGATTTCTTAGATGCTTGTGTCAGCTGCCTGTCCTGTCAACATTTTGAGCCATCCAGTGTTTCTTGTAGGTCACTGAGGAAAAAGCTGAACTTACTACTTGAGAAGGCTAAGCTACACAAAAGCACAAGTTTCACCTGCTCTAAGCTACATCTCATGGGAAGGGACTCAGCGCTGCAAGCCTGTTTCCCCTGAGACATCCTCAGGGAGAACTCCCTCAGATCAGAGCCTGGCAGTGCCCAAAGCTGCTCCTCACCGCTGTGCGGTCGGTGCTGCCCTGGGCATGTGGCAAGGTGGTGGGCAAGGTGCTCCTCCAGATATGCCCCCATCTCCTGGTAGCAAAAGCTGACCCTCAAGCTTGGCACTGTCTCCGCAGCCCTCGCTCCCCTGCCACCAGCAATGGGGAATGCTGGCTATCTGCAGCTCTGCCATCCCAAAGCCGTGAGGACGCACCGCCGCGGCCAGCTTCCACCTACCTGCAGCACCCACTGCTCTACAGGAGAAGCTATGAATGGATGCCGCAGAAAACTACAGGACAAATTACAAGCAGAAACACAGAACGACACAAGATGGATGATATGGGCATACTACTACAGCATAGAGTGGATTTGAACTTCAAGTGAACCTGAGCCAAATGACCAGGCTGCCATGGTGTGTTCATTTGTCGATGTCGGCATCATCAATCCAGCCTTTGTGAAGCTTGGCAGTGAGGTCTGGCTTTGCTTTCCTGCAGGATAAATAAGAACTACAAATGGTGCTGCAACCTTCAAGTAAATGAGCACTTCCAGGGGGTCACTCAAACCTCTAGAGCTGATGCAAATGAAATACCTTTAATTCTTTTGACCAAGTTATGACACACCTGCAACTGAATCTGCCTGTACTTTCAAATCACACAGCCTTGCTTTACCGAGGCAGTTTTAGAAAATGATTACCTGACTGGAAGAAGTTGAAGCAAAGAACTGGAATCAGACTATCCTGAACGTTAAGGTATTTTGTGCTCATTATCCCAGCAATACGATATGGTGCCTTAAAACCAGAAATGAGTCCTTGGACAAGAAATACTTTACATATGTACAAATAAAAAATACAAGCTGACAGTACAAAACCTACCGTTAGTCACCATTCCATCCAACTAGAAAATACAAGATCCATCAAATGCAGTGCAAAGCAGGTCAGGGCATACATGTGACCCAGACAGAGAGCGGCAATACTGATACTTGTTACTATGGCAATTGCATTTCAATGGGGTTAGGTAATCATTATTTTACAATACAAAAAGTTGTACATTTTAACACTTACTTAAAAATTGCCATTTTGCTGCCATGATGTAGCTTTGTTCTACAGCAGAAACTTGAAAAAGCAGCACAGGTCAGATAGGCATTTCTCAATAACTTATTACAGCAACAGACTTTTCCAAGACATGCATTCAACTCTGGAGTGAGCTCACAAGGAGGCTGAGGTCAGCTTTACGCATCAGCTCTCATCCTGCGCTACGCCAGAGTTCAGTGCTTCTCTCCAGAGTGCCGGAGGGGACGGGCACGCCTCTTGTAGCAGATACGAGGCAAAAACGAGAGACACGCTCCACGCCGCAGGCGGGCAGCAGCATCCACCCGTCAGCGGGGCGCGGCTCAGCACGGCGCGCAGGGGCCGCCCGGACCGCGGCCAGCGTCCAGCCGGGGGCAGCCGGGACGTTCGCCACTCGAGGTCGCCGCGCACAGCAGAGGAACCGCAGCGCCGGGCTCCGCGCGACCTCCGTTTGCCAGCTGCCGGGGAGAGGGGAGGCGTGGCGAGGCCAGAGCGAGAGGCCCCGGCCCCACGCGGCCGTGGCAAAACGAAGATCTGAGCCCGGGCCGATCGCGGCTGCGGCGGAGCTGCCGTGCGCCCCACGTCCGGGGCCACCACCGAGCACCGCGGGCTGGGCCCGCTGCTGACGGCTGAGTCTTTTTCTTTCTCAGGGCTCGCTGCCGAGCGTCCCTGATCGTCTGCGAGCTCACAGCTGGCCGTGCGCGGCGCTTCGCTACGGTCGGCCGTTTTGTGACCGTCCTACAGCAGGGGATACGGGAACGGGAGCAGGCGGGAGGCCGCCGGTCGCTCTCCGAGCAGCATACTCACGTGGAGACGCGTCTGCAGCAGCTGCCGAAGGGTCGCGAGGTCTGACGCGCGGAGCGGGGCGTACGGAGGCGGTGCGGGGCGGGGCGAGGCCGGAGCGGCGGGGCCGCGGGGCCCGGAGCCGCGTCCCGCTCAGTAGTGCTGCACGCGGCCGCTCCGGCGCCGGCGCTCAGGACGGTGGGACCGGCGGGCAGCGCGTGGGGCTGGGCGGCAGGCGGGCTGCCGCGCTCTGCTCCGTCCTGAAGCTGTAGTCGTACTGCGGGAAAGCGAGACAGAGGCGCCGTGGGACACCCGACTGCGGGCTCCCCGGCGTCGCCCCAGGGGGAGCGACCCGAGCGGGAGGCGGGGCGGGGGGCACTCCGGAGAATCACCCCTCTCCAGCAGTCCCACGTTAACCCGGCGCGCCCGCTGCGCCGCCCTCCACACCGGGCAGCCGGGCAGGACGAGTCCCCGCCGCACGCCCGGTTACACAAGCCGTACTGCCGTAATTACAACCGTCGGTTCGGCAACCTGGGCGGAAGCCCCTGAGCCCGCAGGTCTCGGGCAACCCGGACCGCTCACCCCGGGCAGCACCGCCGAGCTCCGAGGCGCGGGGCCGCCGCCGCCGCCACAGCGCCACCTGGCGGCGGTCAGCCCGGGCGCGCCCCCGCCCGCCCCGCCGCACGGCGGCACCGCGGCACAGCGGCGGGCGGGGCCGAGCGAGAGCCGCACCGGGACCCCGAGCGCCGGCCTCGTCTGCGGGCGAAGCGGGAGCCGAGCCGCGCGGTGCACGGAGGCGCTGGGCACTAGGGGGTGCTCGGCGACCGCTCCCGGGCTGCGCCGCAGTCGCCTCCCGGCCTCCTCCGCGTCACGGTGCACGCGCGGCGCGACGGGAGTTGGCGCTGCCACGGCAACCGCGGCACCGCGCGCAGCTTCCATTTTGTCCGCGCGGCACCGAGCGCTGCCAGCTGCGGGGCGGCGTGTCAGCGAGCCGCGCTTCCAGACCGCCTTTTAATTGGCAGGCATGTCTTCATTAATTGCACCTCAATGTCACGATGTCGCAGCCAGCAGCACCACCCCGAGCTACAGAAGCAATAAGCCTCATTTTTCAACACACAAACACATAAAGATGTCAGCTCAAACTGTTTACTAATTAACACTTAAAAAGACACAAATTAGATATGCGTGGCTAAGAGCAATTATAATCAAGACGAATTTCTCTAGTCATTTGGGAACTGAAAAAAATGCCTAATTGCTGGAACCGATGTTTTAAAAACTGAAATCATGCCAGTTAGCAAATATGTTCATTTAAAGAACATTTCATGTGACTGCACTCTGGAGAATTGACTACAAACATGAGAACAAGGAAAAATATTTCTGTATAAAATTAAAATTTTAAGCTCCTTTAGATTTACAACTTCTTCATTAAATATATTTGCAAAAAGCAGCCTAAGAAAACTTGAAGCCATTAAGTGGTTAAACGGGCAGCCCTCCTTGTCAGTTTAAAAAGAATGATTAATATTAGATGCACACTTCACTAATTAGACTCCAGACTTTCAGCTCAACACTGAGCTAACGAGGACGCCTCACTTGGAGAGCCAAGGCCTGCAGCAGCCCGAGCAGCACAGGCCCACGCAGCCCAACCTGCCGGAGCCGCACACAGCACAGCCCTGCTGCTGCACCGCTGCACCACGTGCAGCCCGCCTGGCCTGCCTGGCGCTCACACAGGAAGTTTCCCTGCCTGGGACACGAGGACCAGCCAGCACAACTCGCTGCAGTTCTGCAAGGAGACGGCAGCAATGCTGTGGGGCTTCTCCTCCTCACTGCCATACATGCATTGAACTGGGCACAGGCCAACTGCGCCCTCATCTTAAAACCAAGCGTCTTCACCCTCTGCTCTCACTGGGTTTCACCATTTGCTCACACACTCCCAGCACACAGCCGTGCAGGTCCTGGGCCTGGTGCAGCGAGAGGCTGGCTCCAGACACAGCCTGAGGGTGCAGAAGGCACCTCTTTTCCCTGATTCCCCTGAGAGGGTGGGGTCCTTTCATTGGGCTCACTGTGCAGCTTGGAGGATGGGTGCATACATCTGCAAATGTGGCGACAGAGAACAATAACTCTTGGAATTCTCTGGGAATACTTTTTGCAAGGCATCTAGCTCCAGGGAAAACATTCTTGCTGCTTTGGAAATCCAGAAGATTGGCTTTAATGGTGCTATTGCTTGCAAGGGAAATAAAGTCATGCAGAAATTCGCAATATTTATATTTGCAGCTATCTATGTGCAGACAAGATACTTCATCAAGGAATATGGGCTGCATAATTAGACTTTTCATTACTCTGAAAAATACATAGCCTGCAATGGATCAGGAGGGTGTGAGGAAAGGCAGCAGGTGCCAGCCCCAGTGCTCACAGTCTCCCAGCACAGCCTTTAACCCTGACGGTGTGCACAACAGAGGTGTTTGAGAGCAAGGAGGCACAAAGGCAATGCATTCTGATAATAAGAAAGAAAGGTTAAATAAGAGAGACATCTGGAACTAAATGAAGGGCAGCAGACTTTGCCACTAGATTCAATACCTGAAGATTCAGTAGGCACAAATTACAGATGTTTCTAATTCCATATTAACTATTTGACTCAAAACTGACTTCATCCACAAACAGTGAATTGGGAAAGATGAGAGCTTTGCCACAGGGCAGAGGATTTTGCAACCAAATAAGCACAGATCTCATACAGCTTCTGCTCACTGTATGACTGGGTACCTACCTCCTTCTCAATTTCTGCAAGGCTTTTGATTGTGATGCCCAAGAGATCAACTGGCTGCATCTGTGGGGAAAAAAAAGAAACAAATGGCCAATTTAGTTTGTTGTTTAATTTTTCTATTGTTTTGTTTTCATTTTGTTTAAAGTCAGCAAAGATTCTATCACCAGAGATTTAGAGGCACCATCTGTAAACGCATGCATAATCCTATTTCTTGGTGCGCCACAAGAGTGAAGAAGCAGAAGCTGGCTTAGGGATAACAGCTCTAATGCCTTTCTCCCTAAGTGGGGACAGCTGACACCCATTACTGCATCACTTCAGATAGGGCAATCTTCAGCCACCTTGCTGCCCTCAGCACATGCCCCGCACTGCCCACAGGCTTTGTTTGGCCGCAGCACACAGGTGTGAGTGGCACGGGCCGGGAAACAAAGTGACCAAAGTGACCATATGGTGGCAATGGTGTCTAAAGGATCTGAGGGGAGGATTAGCACAGCCTAATCTCTCTGCGCTTGTCCTTGCAACAGGGGACCCAGCTTTCCAGGAATAACGGCCCATAAACAACCCTTGCAGAGAGCAGTGGATGTGAAAAACTGCATCCGGCTGCACACACAGGTTGTGTCAGTGAGAAAAAGGATGTACGAAGCAGGAGCGTGGTGGGAAAAATCAGACACAGCTGATGGCTCTGCATTTGCTGTAATAGATTCTCATAAATTGACTTTAAAAGAGATACTGTTTTAGTGATTAGATGGATTAAAGAAGTGGTAATGGGTTGCATTAGGCTCTCAGGGCTTCTGAGTTCCAGCCCACCAACTCCAGTCAGTGCTGTGGGACTGCCGTGAGCTGCAGGATGCGATGCTGAGCAGCTCCCGCAGGGCCCAAGTGTGCTGTGCGTGGGGATGCCCTGGCTGTGCCACCGTGCTGTGTGTGGGGACCTCTCTGCTCTGCTGCTGCGCCACAGATGCCCTGACTTAAATAATCTCTCAAGCCAGAGGGCAGCAGGACCACTAGAATCATTTTTCTATCGCTGTTCCTGCTCCTGGCGCTCTGCAGAGGTCCAGCTGTGGTGTCATTAGGACTCAAGCACCTCTCTAAACTTTCCAGGCTGGAATTGGTAAACACGATGGCACATTTTCACGTCGGAATTGGATTTCCTCCAATGTAGCCATGGCAACCCTGCTATCTCGGGTCAGCCGCAGCTCCTCAGCTCCATGTGCAGCCACCAGTGCTCACAGTGATTCAACAGCTCTGGAAGGCCCAGGTGATGGCAACTGCACTTAGTTTTAGGGCAGAAAAAGCGGTGGTGCTCCCGGCATCGCCCTCAGGTGAGGCAGTGGGAGGAAGGAGCCCGGCCTAGCCGTGGGCACAGCGCCTGACCTGGCATTGCACTGCTACCACTGGTCTGACCTTCAGGGTGCACAGTGGAACCTGTGAGGCTGACTTCTGCGATGCCGCATCAGTGGCATAGAAATGTGGTAGACATGAGTATTTGCAGCTTTCTTCAAATCTCTAATAAGAAATAAAAGGTGTTTCCAGTGCCCAAAGCCACGCTGCCACTCCCATTTTAATGGTGTTAAACCTTCCTCTCCTGGGAGAAGTCAGCTCCTGTGCAGACCTGGCCCCAGGCTGCTTCTGCCCTACAGCTCAGCAAGATGTGGGTTCCCAGAGATCAGCTCCCAGAAGCAGGCAGTTTGTGTCAATGCCTTGTGACCACTCCCCATGAACAGACAAACTATGGACATGGGAATGAGAATGAAGACAACTCACCCCTTCAGGAGCACAGGCAAACTTCTCCGAGATCATGAAAGGCACTCCATCCATTGCTGTAAGGGACAAAACAAGCAGAGATGTTACTTTTCCAGCTCACTTCTGGTGTGCAACTTCACACTCACAAAAACATACCAAGTGTACACGGCAGTGACATCGGACTGATGCTCCATGGACGTTACTGACAATCATTTCTCCCTCCAATCTCCCAGAGGTTTCTCTCCATTCAAGACACAGCTACAAAGTCAGCAGCTCGATGAACCTTCCTTGCTCTACTCAACGTAATTTCATGGTCTCAGTTTTAAGTTTGGTTCCAATTTGGGCCAGATGCCAAAACGGGATGGTGTTTGCAACGCAAAATAAACACTCTGAAAGGACAGATATTTATTTAACACTACCACAGAGATCCATCTGAGCTAACTTGGTGTCCGAGCAAGAGGAAAAGGAAAACACCTGTTCAGGTAACTTTCACCTTCCAAATGCAAAGCTGTAAGAACTGCTACCTGGGCAGAACTACTGCCAGCCCCTTCCCTTGCCCGGCTGTCATCATTCGAGATTTGGCAGCAAGAAACAGAGCTGAAACAAAACGCAAATGGCCTCTGGGGGACAGAAATCAGTGAAGTAGAGGACAGGCAAACGGACAGGTCACTGTGCCAGGCACTCTCTGCAGCACCACCTTAATGACATTAAGAGGATTTCTTCTATTTTAATGTCTTGTATATTCTTCTCTGATAACACAGTGATGCTCAGTGTTCCTGTCTTGTTATCACTGCCTTAGAAACTTCACAGAAACCCTCCCACAAGATATGTCAGTACAAGTGAGCCACTTACTTCTGAAGCATGCATCTCAGCAATTTCCACACAAGACTGAAAAGGGCACATTTCTAAGGCAGAGTGCAGCCCCAGACACACACGCTTTGTGTCAGTTACACCTTTAAGTTTCAGCTCTCAAGGAAATAAAAACTTCAACCAGGCCAACTTTAACCCCTGAAATGCCCTCCAGTAATCCTCAAATACGGTTTTCTTTCACAAAGCATCTGCACCCCTGAAGCCTGCATCTCCCCGCTTGCTGTTTCCTAACTGCCATCAGCACCAGCGAGTTATTACGTTAGTGATTTAATGAGTCATTTAAGAATACTTAGCATCTGACACACTATTTTTGACTTAAAGAACCAAACCAAATGAAAACAAAAAAAACCCCACTCCACTGAGATCATTTCATTATCAAAGGTGTTATGTGGCAGCCATGGTGTTTCATGAAACAAAAGGAAACAGATGAAAAGCAGCGTCACAAAACCCTGGAAAGTTCTGAACCTGGAAGACCATCTGCATCCATTCCCCCCGCAGAAGCTGCTTTGATCGCTCACGCCGCTGTTTGTGCAGCGATCTGCAGGACGGGCCGCGCTGCCCTGCGCCCGCCCTGCCAGGAGCAGCTGAACGCAGGGCATGCCAAGGGCCCAGCAGCACAATTAGCACTCTCCCAAACAAACGAGCTTCAACAGAGCTGTAATTAAGCAGGCCTGTAATTAAGTATATGCCCTTTATCCTAACGATCATACTTAAAAATGGCACGATGCATGGAAGCGTGTTATTAATGGCACAGTCCCAAAGCGCAGGGAGTGTGCACAGGAGCTGGCACGGCAGACCCATCACACTACAAGGAAAAGGCAGAAGGCCAGCAGCTCGCCCAGCAGCTCTGCACAGCCAGGCAGAACTCACGGCACTTACACACGCCGTGCTGGGGCAGTGATGGCTGGCACTGCAGAGTGCCCACAGCTGGGCAGAGCCCGGCCTGCACTGCTGTGCTGGGCAGGCAGCGGAGGGTAAGGCCTGCCGAGAGCCGCAGCGCTGCGCCCGGATGGCTTCTCCCCTCCGTAGAACATCTGCAACAGATCAGGGAGCTGCCTGCACCGCTCTCAAAACCAGAAAAAAACAGACAGGGATCTCAGAAAGAAAAATGTCAGCGCCGCTTAATGTCTCTGAGAAACAGCTCCTCCCTGAAGGTCACGAGCAATTAGCTCGTCTGCTGGAATCAGAAGAGTGCCCAAAGAGCCCACGGCCAGAAGTGCTGAGCCCAAACTCCGGAGAAGTCCATCAGCCCATTGCGGGGCCACGTGCCCCACAGCCCCTCCTGGCTGTAAGCACGAGCTGTTAGCTGACTTAGAAACTCCCCCTGTGCCCCGAGGAGCACCGTCACCCACTCTGAGCACACGATAGATGCCGCCTTCTTTGCTGCAGACTCCAGCTAAATCGCGGTTGTCAAATTAGTAATTCATCTTTCTAGAATAACTATATTTTTAGCAAAGCTACCAGATTTAAATAATCAGACCTGCCAATGCTACCCTCATTTAAACACGCTGACGAACTTTCACAGACAGCATCAGTTAACATAATGAGTTTCTGGATGACAAAGAACTTCAGACTGTAGTTCTCTACACTACCCGGCGTAATAAGCACTTGTTCTTTTCTACAATGTGCACATAAAGAGGAATCTAAATAATAATTGCTGTAATTATCTTGAAAAATATGTGGTGATTAATGGTGATTATGAAAATCTGTATCACTGTTCATTGAAATCTCCAACGATCAGCTGGTTTCTTGAAGCAGCCACTGCCGAAGGCCGTGGAGCACAACGAGCGGCGGAGCTCTGTCCACCCGCAGCCGTCCCGGCGCCCAACGCTCCGTGCAAGGCACCAAGTCCAACCTGTTATTTATGCAAATAATTAATTATTCTCGAATCCAACTAGCAGTTTGTCATGACACATTAATGACTTGATAGACTTCTATGAACTAGTGAACACAGGACAGCAGAGCACTTTTATCGTCATTTAATTTAAAAACGATCCTGTGTGAAATTATCTAGTCGTGAATGATGGAAGCATAAAGAACAGACTCAGCAAAGCTTCTTTTGGATCATTGCTTTATTAATGGTAACGTCAGGGAAATGAAAAATGCTAACATTGTCATATTTAGCTCCTGGGTGCAGACAAATAGTGCCGTGCTGCTGGGTGTGCACACTGCGGCAGTGCCGGTGCCTCACAGCACAGCCATGGGGACGTGGCACAGCCCTCTGACCCCTCCTCACATCCTCTCCATGCGCTTCTGTAGCTCTGGCTATTTTCACTGCTTTCTGCACGGTCTTTTACACTTGAATTTTCACTTGCTGATCTTAAAAATATTTAAATAACTGAATAACAAAATACTTTCCTGCATTGCACTGAAAATTAAACATCAATAACCGCTTCCACAACCCACAGGAAAACACACAGCCCTGAATGCACTGCCACTGCAGCACAGCTCAGTGCCTGCACCCATGTGCAGAACTGTGCAGGACACTGAGAGCTGAGGAACGCTGTGGTCTCAGCCCCAAAGAAAGTTGTTCACAAGTGCAGAGAAAAGCAGCCTGCAAGGCAACAGAAGGGGGGCACGAACTTTCCAGAGCGAGCTGCTCCCTCCACGATGTACAGCTAAGCCTCCTACTTCTGCTCTTCTGTACACAGCCATGTAAACAGCAGCCCGAATAGTACAGCATGTGTGCCACGTGCCAGATGGAGCAGCACCGCTACTCATCTCCAGAGCACTGTGACAGCCAAACCCCAGAGGAGAAACAGCAGCACCTAGCAGCTCACCACCTTCCTCCAGGAGCACCTCCAGCTCTGTTTGCAGCCCAGGGGAATGGCCCCAGCACGAGGCACCTCAGGCCACAGCGCAGCCTGGAGCTGCCCAGAGCTCCCCAGGAGGGGAGGGGCTCACCACGGAGAGGAGTCCTGGCAATGGAAACAGCCACAGCTTTTCTGTTCATCCTGAATGACATTGATTCAAAAAACAGACCTGGAATAAATTTACATTTTTGCTAATTTGATTGTCAGCCTTGATTTTCTCTATTTCCTGCATAACTCACGACACAACACAATTAGTTCTGTACTGCTAGATCAAGCCCTGAAAACACTTGAGCAATACTCCTGGCTTTGATTATTTTCTCTCTTTAAATAACATGAGGGTTAAGCACTGCATGGTAATAGCTAATGGTACCTGGGTGCTGCGGCTGCCCCACATCGCCAGCATGGAGCAACTTCAAACAAGCTCTTCGGATCGCGAGTGTTTGGGAGCTCTTGATTTTATTATTTTTTAATAAAATGTCTCCTTTGAAGTCTCTGCAACATACTGAACTTCAAAGCTTACACCTAAGCACGTGCTGCTCCCAAGCAACAGCCCTTAATTAATTAGAGCAGAGCTGATACAGCGTGGGGCGCTCACACAGCTCTGAGCAGCACAGCGGGGTCGTGCTCTGAAGGAAACACAGACACTGCTCCATCACCTCCAGCTCTGACTGAAGGGAGCAGAGCCTGTGGGGCCACAGCAGGCTGACAGCAATGCCAGCGTGCACAACTCAGGTTGGGGTCAACAGTTGCAAAAAGCATCTGAGGAGGCACCCACAATGGCTGCAGTGTTCCCTGGCTGTGGCTGTAAATTTCCCCCCTTGATGAGAGAAACATCCTGCTCGGGGCAGACTGCTTCCTCCAGCACTCATGTTCTTGGCACCTCAGCCATTTGCAGTACTGCAGGTTGGGACCAGGGCACAGTAAAGGAACACAATGCCTTTTGTTAGGGGCTCTGGCCCTGCAAGCTTTGATTTCCCTTAGCTGACATGTATCTGGCTTTTTGTAAAAACAGAGGGGAGGAGCTGCTGCTGCAGGAGGCGCCAGTCCTGCACCCAGCGCTGCGCGCAGCAGGGCGGTGCAGGGAGGTGCAGAGCGGTGCCGCACGAGGCGGTGCCCAGCTGTCGGCAGCTGCAGTGCGGCTGAGAGGGGCTGGGGGCACAGTGGTGCCACGCAGCTGGCCAGGACCTCGCCTCCTGATGTAATTCAGTTTTTAAGTGCTCAGAGCCATTAGCGGAGCCACATATTTCTATCGGGTAAATTTCATTTGCATATGCAAATTATATCTAAATACACTGCACCATTAATATGATCACTAATTACATAATAATAGTCACCAATCTCCACACAGATCAAACTTACAGTTTTGTAGCTATTAAGGAAATTGTGCTTTGTAA